GAAATTTCTAAAATCTCCTATCACAGTGCTAAACATACAGCAAGCATTCAATAAAATGAACAAGACTGATAAAGATATATCTAATGAAAAATCAAAGTCAATGTACTGTTGTTGTTAGTTGCCCTTGAACCAATTCTGACTCAAAGCGACCCCATGTACTGTAACACACTTGTAATTAACACTAAACATATAAATCTAAATTTGAAATGAATAACAGAATTGTGTAACATCAACAAGTGACCAACCATTAAAACAATTACTGATTATCTCAATGACAAAACAGGTTCATCTTAAGTTAGATACCAATCCCTGTCGTTAAGAATAAAACTAACATTAACATAAATAAATTCAGCATTAAAAAAGATGAAAGACTTAAAAATTGAACCCTATATAAAGAAAAAATTAAGAGTTCAAGAAAATTTTACCTGTATGTCTTCTTTTCAAACAATTTTTTAAAATGCTCAAGTATCAAGTTTAACTGCACATTTAATGATGACACATATTTCTGGTGAACAAAATCTCTAACTCTGGGTTTCAACAAAAAATAGCCACTATTTTTAAAACATACATTGAATTTGACTAATGATGCATTAAAATTATGGTCAAGCCTACAATCTCCTCTCTTGGTAACATACCACATGGCAAGTTTTGACTCTTACCTTTATTTCTAATGTACCACCAAAGCCCATTTTAAACTGTCCATGTATATCTTTGGTAAAGACTCTTTGAAAAGTTTGCTTGAATAAGGAAGTGTTGAAAGAATCGCCCATTACCATGTACCCTCTACATGGAAAGAACAAAAAACGATGTAGATGACACAGGTACACATGTTAAAACCAGAAAAGTACAAGTTATCAACACATTTTAAATACAATAAAATCAAAGTTGAATTGCTTGCTTCTGTTTTAATATACTTCCCTTAAAGATAGGTTTCTTAATATCTACTCAACAAATAAGAATATAAAGATCTTGCAAATAAAGAGGTATTTGAAATAAATTAAAAACTGAGTTACAGCCATGTGATGGTTAATTTTATGTGCCAACACTACTAGGCTACAGTGCCCACTTGGGTCAAACACTAGTCTAGATGTTGCTGTGAAGGTATTTTGTAGATGTCATTAACATTTACAATCAATCAACCTGAAGTAAAGGAGAGTATCCTCAATAATGTGGATGGGCCTCATTTGAAGGCCTTAAGAGCAAAAACTAAGGTTTCCCCCTCCTAAATACATACCTAAGAGAAACAAAAACATACATCCACACAAAAACTTGCACATGAATGTTCAAAGCAGCATTATTCATAATAGCCAAAAAGCAGAAACACAAACGTCCATAAAATAATGAATGGATAAACAAAATGTAGTGTTATCCATACAATGGAATGTTACTGAATGAA